TGGGGTGGGGAGGGGGCCAGCAGAACTGAGGGCCAGCAGCTGGGACGGGTCCTCGCCAGGCGGGTGACCAGCTGCCCCTGAGCACCTCTCTGTAGACGATACAAGGAACCTCAAAGGTGCTCATGAGGATTAAACGAGGGAGGGCTGCCGTGGGTGTCTGCAGACTAGAAATGCAATGATGCAAGCAGATGGCGCGATGAAAGGACAAAAACCATGACTATAAAGCGTTCTAGCCACGCAGATGCTATTGTTTTGAGCTTTAAGATATATTTTTATTGACTTCAGAGAGGCAGGGAGAGGGAGAAAGAGATAGAAACATCAGTGATGAGAGAGAACCATGGATCGGCTGCCTCTTGCACGCCCCACACTGGGGATCCAGCCCGCAAGCCGGACATGTGCCCTGATGGGGAATCGAACCAGTGACCTCTTGGTTCATGGGTTGATGCTCAACCACGGAGCCACACCAGCCGGTGGGTTCATCGTTTTCAAACACAGGTTTTGTGAGGTTTGTTACAAATGAATCACTAACCAGAATGCAAAGAATCAGAACACCCAGACATCTTCCTTCCTTATGAAACCGTTCCTCTCTAGAGATTCCCCTATGTTCTCGGGGTTGTCCACTCCCAGCTCCTAATCATCCTGCAACAGCGCCACACGGTAGAGGGTACTGCGGACCTGCTGACTGCGTTCGATGCTTTTCCCACGCTGTTGGCTTTTCTCCCGACGTCTCGTGGTTTGTGTTTCACGGCACATGACTTATTAAAAAGAACATACATCATAGCTGGGTGTTTCTAAGCTTCCAGCCTTGCCACACCACTCCATCCATCCTTCCTGTTCGATTTTTCTGGTGCTTCTTACTGGTGACAGATGCTGGCTCCTCCCACGCAGTAAAAAAAAAAACACAACACCCACAAACTTAGATTTTTAGCAAAGTCAACAGGATGAGTCATGACACGCGTTGAAATGTGAACTCTCTTTCGAGAAGTCTGTGGACTGACATCTGGTGGCATCGGTCTCTCCCATGTTTCAGGAAAACCGCTCTGTGCGAGCAGTAAATTCCTAGGAACCTGGCAGTTTGAACGTGGGACTCGACACGGCGCCTGCGGGTGCCTGCGCTGTGACTCGATGATACCGTGGGGGAAGGACTCCGTGGCCGGACATGAGAGGAAGACCCAGGGAGGCCAGGGAGTCGCCCGGGGAGGGGAGCTGCTTCCCTGTGCATTTACACGGTGCACGCACCTCAGCACAAGGGCCACAATACGGAACCCGGTCCTCCCCTTGGCAGCGTGTTCGGGGCCAAGTGGGGAATGTAGCCTTTCTCCGCGATGACCCTGCCAGTCCCGATGACAGTAAAAGTCAGAATGCCAACCTGCTCACCGCACTGACGCAGGGAACGCATATGCTCATCAACAATTCCTCCTCTTTGTCATGTTCACACCTACATGTAATATCCAGGCAACCAATAAAGCATCTATAAAAGGAGATACACTCAACAATGATAGAAAAATCAACATGGAATTCTAAAAAAATGTTCCAGTGAGCCACGGGAAAGCAGGATAAAAACAGAGAAACAAGCAAACAGGGGGACAGCGAGAAGACAAAAATAAATGGGAAGACTTAAGCCCTAAATATCAGCAATTACATTAAATATAAATGGTCCAAAATATATAAATTAAAAAAGAGAGACTGATTTTTTTCAAATGACCCAACTATACACCTAAGCTATGAAAAACTCACTTCAAATATAATGATCTAGTTAGATTGAAAGAAGGGGATGAGAAAACATATTAGATACAAACATTAACCAAAAGAAGGTCGAGGAACCTAATATATATATATTTCCTTAAATATAAATGGTCCAAAATATATAAATTAAAAAAGAGAGACTGATTTTTTTCAAATGACCCAACTATACACCTAAGCTATGAAAAACTCACTTCAAATATAATGATCTAGTTAGATTGAAAGAAGGGGATGAGAAAACATATTAGATACAAACATTAACCAAAAGAAGGTCGAGGAACCTAATATATATATATTTCCTCCCAAAATGTATACATACACTTTGAATAATTATAAAGGCGGTGTTTATGAAAATACATTTCATTTTCAAAATTGAGCTATCAGCTGTTAAAGTGTGTATGCATTTTTTTATATATATATATATACATATATGTATGTATGTGTTTGTGTGTGTGTATATATATATATATATATACACACACACAAACACATACATACATATATGTATATATATATATATATTAGGACTAATACTGGTGAGTACCAGTTACATTCGCTGAAAAAAAAAAAAAAGACGATGAATTACTTAATGTAAAGCTAACAGAGCACGGGCAGGACTCATACTGAAAACTAAGAAAACGAAAAACAAAACAAGAGTTTCGTGAGTTTGCAGAATACAAGGCCAACATACAGAAATCCATTTTGCTTATGTATACTATCAGTGAAATGTGGAAACTGAAATGGAAAATAAAATACCAGTTACATTCGCTGAAAAAAAAAAAGACGATGAATTACTTAATGTAAAGCTAACAGAGCACGGGCAGGACTCATACTGAAAACTAAGAAAACGAAAAACAAAACAAAACGACTGACAGTATGTGAACGTTCACCAAGCGCCCGTTTGCCCTGACAAGGGGGTGGTGGTCGAGGGCAAGGCCACTAGGCCCTGAAGGCCAACCCCTACCTGCGCTGGAATCTGTGTGGCATTGGGTTTTCTATCAGGGAAAGCACAGACTTTTGTAAAGAAACCTCCGGCGGCCCCTGGCGATGTGCCCACCCTGGCCAGGCGCTGGGGCTGTGGTTCTTACATGGTTATTGGGACTAAATCTCTGGACCTTCAGGGAGAGAAGAAATCTCATCAGTGGAGGAAGGGCAGGCACTTATTTTTTAAAAGGTGGTCTTGTGGCACCATCTAGTGGCGAAGGGCACGAACTGCTCGCCTCAAAGTCCAGCAGAGTTAGGGTCGCCAAGGGAGGAGGCAGGGAGGAGGCAGGGAGGAGGCAGGGAGGTGGGGTGGGGGGCCAGGGGGGATACACTTGGTTTCCTGCTTTCTTGGCTCTCAGACCAGTGACAGCTGATGCGCAGAATGTCAGCACAACCTCAGCCCCATCTCTGGTTCTTCCCTGGTCTACTCCGCGTACAGCCACTGGATTCATCACTCTCCAGAAATGGGGAGAGCTGGCCCGGCCGGTGTGGCCCAGTGGTTGAGTATCTGCCTATGAACCAGGAGGTCAGGGTTCCATTCCCGGTCAGGGCAGATGCCCGGGTTGCGGGCTCGATCGCCAGTGTGGGGCGTGCAGGAGGCAGCCGATCTATGATTCCCTCTTATCACTGATGCTTCTCTCTCTCCTTCTCCTGTCCTCTCTGAAATCAATAGAAATATATTTAAAAAAATAACTCTGGCTGCGGGAGGAGGCCAGGGGGGCTGTCCCTGCAGGGGAGTGGACAGCCTCAGACTGTCCGTGCAGAGGGTGGAGGGACAGGGGTAGCATGGACAGGACAGGAGTTGGGGGGGCGGGGCCGAGCAGTGAGCAAAGGAGAGGTGGGCTTCCGGGGCCTGATCGCTTGTGCGACTGGGCCCTTTTCCTTCTGCCTCGTCTGACCCTGGTCTTGACTGGGGAAAAGAAATGGGCTTTTAAAAAAAATAAAATTAATCGTACACCTACTCCGTGACCCGGCGTCCTTATGCCTAGCTATTTCTTTAAGAGGAATGAAAATGTTTGTCCATCCAAAAGCCTGTATGCGAATGCCCTTGAAATGATGAATGGATAGTTAATCTATGATGCATCCATCAAATGAAAGACTTCTCAGCGAGGGAAGGAAACACACCATTTCAAGCATGCAAAGTTACGGAGGGCTCTTCAATGCATTTTTCCAAGTGGGATCAGAACGACCCGGAAGGTGACCTGTTATGTAATTCCACTTATATAACCTTGGAGAATCAGACCTGTGGGAGGAGAGCAGTTCACAGGGCGTCTTGCGTTGGAGGCGGGGTGCGTACATACGGGAGCTCAGGGGATGACTGGGCAGCTTGATAGGAAAACGCTGATAGGAAATTGTGGCGGCTGATTCTATCCACTTGTCAAAATCCACAGAACTCTTTTCTTAAAATGTTTTCTATTGATTTCAGAGAGGAAGGGGAAGGGGGAGAGAGAGACACATCAATGATGAGAGAGAATCATCGGTCAACTGCCTCCTGCACGCCCCCTACACTGGGGATGGAGCCCGCAATCCCAGGCATGTGCCCCGACCAGGAATCGAACCGTGACCTCCTGGTTCATGGGTCGATGCTCAACCACTGAGCCACACCAGCCAGGCTAATTGTTTTAGCTCTGATCCATGTTCTATGGTTGTGTAAGTTTGTAACATAAAAGGAAGCTGGGTGAGGGGGTATCCTGTAACTTCCCACAATCTTTGCAACTCTTCTCCCAGTCTGAAATGGTATCAAAAATAAAAATACTAGGTCGCCTTCCTGTGGGTCATAGGGGAAAAACAAATTATATGGAAACTTAGGTAAATACAAAAAAAGAAAAATCTTTATTCTTTCTTTTTTTTAAACATTTGTTTGTTTCTTGTGTGTGTGTGTGTGTGTGTGTGTGTGTGTGTGTATATATATAATTGATTTTTTTATAGAGAGGAAGGGAGAGGGAGAGAGAGACAGAAACCTCAATCAGCTGCCTCCTGCACGCCCCCAACTGGAGATTGAGCCCGCAACCTAGGTACATGCCCTTGACCGGAATGGAACCCGGGACCCTTCAGCCCACAGGCCAATGCTGTATCCATTGAGGGATTCTGTCTTTCTGATAAGCTGGCCTCCCAGGCCCGGATCCCCTGCCGACGCCCCATCTCCACGAGCCTTGCAGCCCAGATACCCCTCTGACCTCTTGTGATCAAACAGGACCCGCTTGGGCATGGATTTGAGGACGTGCATTTTTTTTGTTTTTGCACCGCTGCTGTAAGTTTAGATTTACGTTTTCTGGGTATGTGTTGCCCAAACAGAAAATCAGTGCCATGACATCAGACAGCCCACTCGACAAAGCTTTCCCAACACCCGTGGGTCCCGTCATCGGCATGCTGCGGAGCCGCCGCGGTGCAAAGTGAGGTTCCCTGGCAGGCCTGGGCCTGCACTGGCAGAATCGCGGGCTCCCGGCTGCGGAACCCACCGTCCTCCGCCCCGAGAACCCCAGCCCCGGCTCCAACATTCTGCACATTCACACGCTCTGAGGAATAGAATCCTGGAGTCATAATTTCTTAAAGAGGCCCCCGGGAGCGCCCGGGCGGTGCTTAAGCGGCTGTGAACGTACAGAATGAGGGTACAGCAGAAATCCCCGTTATTAAAAGGAGTCCCAGCATGGGGGTGGGGGGGAGACTCAGATATTCAAAGTGGCGAGAAGGAGGGACATGCGAATGCTTTATTCGGCTGTAATTACACATCAGCGGCGGCATCTAGGTCGCCCACAGTATGCGGTACCAGCCCCACCTTAAGGGGACATTGAAGCTGAGAATGACTTGATGTCAAAGGTCAGCGCATACACGCCTGGGCCAGGACAGTGACTGCACGCCTGCCGGAGGCCTTGACCGACGGCCGTGGCAGCACGGGGCAGTGAGAGGACCGTGGAGGCCGAGCCTCCGTCTGGTCAGGGTCTCATCTTCTTTAAAAATAAATTCTTTTTAATTGATTTCAGAGAGGAAGGGAGAGGGAGAGAGAGAGAGAAACATCAATGATGAGAGAGAATCATGGATCGGCTGCCTGCCCGCCCCATCAAGCCCGCAACCCGGGCATGTGCCCTGACTGGGAATCGAACCCTGACCTCCGGTTCATAGGTCGACGCTCAACCACTGAGCCGCACGGGCGGGGCTAGAGGTTTTTTCTAATGAAAGGAATTTTCTGTTCAACATTCCAGTGATATCAGAATAAAGAGGAGAAACACTGACTCAGTGCTGAAGGGCAAAGCAAATACGATGACATCAATTAACAGACAATTAACAGATGTGAGACAAAGTGCGAGGACTAATGGTGTCTGAGTTACCGGGAAGCTGAGTGCCGCCGGGGAGGGAGGCCAATGGATGTAACCGAGGAGACTGCAGCCCTGGAGGAACAGCAGGAGGCTTTTCTTTTCTTTTAATTTAAAAATATATATATTTTTATTGATTCAGAGAGGAAGGGAGAGGGAGGGAGAGAGAGATAAAACAATAGGAGGCTTTAAAAGAGCATCCAGAGAACAAAAATTCTGGGAAGCGAAGAATATGATGGGAAGAGCAGTACATTTACGAGCGGGGCTGGGCGATAAAGTGGAGTTATTCGTCACGTGTGCAGAGCAACGCGGACAAACAGATAAACTCTGAGGAAACAAAGACCAACCTGGGAAGGCCAACATGCAAATAATTAAAGTTCCAAAGGAAAAAAAGAAAAGAAAAGAAAAGAAAAGAAGGTACATGATGGTGGGAAAATCCTAGACCTTTCAGACGTGAGGGCGTGAGTCTCTGGAGTGAAGGTCCCACTGGACATCTGGTGCCACTCGGAGAAGGAAGCTCACTCACCACCTGGTAGCAGAGCCCCGAGCAAAACACATACACAACAGGGGAGGACAAAGACCAGTCATTCCATGGCCTCAGGCAAGAAGCAAGGCCTTCACCTCCTAAAGAAACAGACTTCAACCCAGAGAGAGGGAGGAGGGGAGGGAGGGAGGGAAACATCGCTGTGAGAGAGACACATCTATTGGTTGCCTCCTGCACCAGACCGGTCAGGCTTGGGATCAAACCTGAAACCCACGTACGTGCCCTTGACTGGGAATCGAACTCGAGACCCTTCAGTGCTCGGGCCAACGCTCTGACCACTGAGCCGCCGGCCGGGGCTGTAAACCTGCCATGGCCCCGCCCTGTACGGACATCAGGGAGCGGATTCTCCTTAGCCTGCATTCTCTTCCCAGGCCCCGGTGGGGGACTGCTTCCCAGTTTCCCTTGAGGCTGGGACTTCAGCTGACATTGTCATCATGACCGACAGCTTCACACTTTAAACGCACCTACCCCGCGGTTTTTACAGGTTACCTCTTCTTTCCGATCGGGGAGGGGGCCGGACACTTCGTCTCCTGTGTGTTCTGCCTGTGGACTCCCCGACTTCCCGCCTTGTGTCTGCCCCTGCCCTTTAAGCTCACGTATGTGTTCATCTCTCGCTTTACTGACTGAAACGGTAGCGAGCGGAAATGTCAGCTCGACTCCCCAGATGCCCCACAGCCTTTCTTTATTTTATAAACAAAAAAAGAAAAAAAATACAGTCCCGTCGATGGGGGTGAACAGAGAGCCGACCTCACAGACGGCCCTACTGGCACAGGCCCGACTGGGCTGACTTCTCCACACGTCAGCTCTGCACTGTCAACGGGGTGCCCCGTGCAGAACACGGGCCGTAAAGGAATACTGACCCGCTGTCCCCCGGGAAGTGGTTTGTCTCCAGGTCTCTGATACGATGGGGTACAGGGGGCGCAGGGAGGCAGCCATGCTTTCAGGAACAGGGTCCCCTGACCCTACTCAAGATAGAGGAATTCCCGGGGCCCCTCTGGGAGGCAGGGCTCTTGGGCCCTTTGGGGACACGGGTAGGACAGTCAGCGCTGCAATCGCGGGGCCGTCTCTGCCGTCTCTGACTCCCTTTCTGCCAGCAGCCAACACCCCACCCTCATCCCTCCACGGGCGCCGGCTCAGCCACAGATGGTGTGCAACTCAGTGGCCAGATGACGCTCTGTCACGCCTGTCTGCGCCCCATGAACATGGCCCTGGGGTCCCCGTCTCCTGGCCCAGGGCAGCTGTCTCCTCTCCTGTCCCTCCTTCCTCCCGCGGTGATCAGACCTAAGAATGAGCGTGTGTTCACACCCGCATCTGGTAACAGGTGCGGGTTCCCTGGAGGACACCTCCCTGCCCGGCTGTCACATTCCTTGGTATTTTCCCAGATCCCATCACTGTCCACTCCTGCTGCCAGGGGGACACTCAAGGGCGGCCACGCGTTCCCGAGCCTTTCCCTGGGGTTTGGTGCCATCCGGTACCCGGTGCCGGATGCAGTTCAGACAGGTGGGCATCGCCGCTGCCGGCCCCCAGGTGCCTGAGCTGTGGGCCTGAAGGAAGGCCGGCGCAGCGCCCCCTCCTGGGCGCGGGGAGCCCTGCCGCACTCAGCTTCCTGCCGCCGGCTTGCTGTGGGCAGAGGCGGAGTTCTCTGCCAGTGCGAGCCCCTCCTGGTACCTCCGCGTTCCTCCTCCAGAACCATGCCCCCCGCAACACCTAGGACCTGCTAAGTCCCTGACCCCCACCCGCACCCCTCCGCTGGTGTCCGCTCTGAGCGCCCCGGCCCTGCACTCTCTCCCAGGCTCACAAATAGCCCAGCTCACCCCTCAGCCCCCCAGCAAAGGCAAGAGGGTGGGAGTCCACTTTCCCATCGTCCGAACCCCCTTCCAGAGAGGATGGCACCGAGAGCGGGGCCCCGGGCCCCTCACCCCCTCCTGCAGCTTCTCCCCCCGCCCCGCTGCCAATGTCTCCCAGACCCGCCCAGCATCAGGCTGACACCCAGCCGCCAGCGTGGAGAGAACTGGACCAGAAGGACCCGGCTGCCCCCGAAGGCTTCGCCCCGGTCAGCTCTGTCCGAGCGGGAGGAGGTGGAGCGGCAACAAAGGGCAGCAGAGCCGGGCGCCCTGGCCCTCGCCCTGGTCAGACGGGCCCTGCGGAGGGAGGTCTCCCTG